AGGGCCATAATAATCATATACATTGTATATTGACAAAATAAAAATTAAAAAAAAAAATTCATGTTAAACTTTTTAGGTATGATTATGAAATTGTGGTTATAATTAAAAACATATAAGTTCTGAAATATTTATGAGCGAAATTATGTGATGTCTGTGATTTGCTCCATTAAAAAAAATCCATGGCAGAGTTGAATAAGGGCATAGATGGCACAAGGATGTACTTAAGTCAATAAATGAAGTGCTGGGTGATGGCTATTTTAGATTCATTCTAGTGTACTCTTGCATATGTTTGAAATTTTCCATTATAAAAAGTAAAACAAAACAAAACAAAAAGATTCTGTGAACTGATCAAAACAATGATTTCTAATGTAAGCATAAATCTGAAATCACAAGGGCTAACATCCAAATTGCAGGTATTGGTTGCAATCAAGAGGCACATTATAGAGTTGACTCTACACTGTATACTCCCAAGCAGCAGAAATGACATAGTTGGTGTAATGACAATAAATGACTTTACCAGCAGATGCTACAAAGGCTAGTTGGTATCAAGGTACATTTTGGATGAATTACAAGAGTTCAACCGAAAAATGAAAAAGATCCATAAAACAGCAAAACCAAAGGTGAATATTTAGTTACCTGATTTTGGAACTGAGAAATGCTTTCAGTTCATAAATGTAATAAAAGAAACCAAAAAAGACAAGATTGGGAGTTTGACTCCATAGAAATACTAATGTCTGTGGCCCACTGGGGGAACACTGGGGTACAGCATGGACAGCTGATCTGCCCTCCAGTCAGCAGAGGATCACTCAGTGGAGACTGGTCAGGAATATAGAACTGCAGGGGGTGCAGTTTCCTGAAAAGACTCAGGCCCAGACCAGAGTTCCCACACAACCCGGTGTACTGGACCTCACAAGATCCAGCAGTGCTTATTAAGTCAACATTTAAAACCTGAGCTGCACAAAAAGCCTTCCCCTAAGAATCAGCAGCAAAGCAGCAATTTAGCTCAATCACAGGGCTCAAGTGCTGGTCCCCACAGGCAGCTCCCCCATTTTAGAAGGAACCAAAGGACAACCAGCTCCCCCATTTTAGAAGGAACCAAAGGACAACAAATTAGTTCCAGTGCAGAGTTTAAGTGGGAGTAGCTAATAATGCAACACAGAACTGAAAGAAAACACAAAAAACCCACAGATCAGAGACAAAGTTCTGATATTGACCAATAAATGCCTAATATCAAAAAGAATACCTATAAAACCTAGAAGAGCTGGAAGCCCCCTGGGCTCCTGAGCCAGGATGAAGGGGCCCTGAGGGCCTCAGCCACATCCCCTTTGATGTCTACATCCAGCCCAGCTATAACAGAGCTGCTGCTGGAAGCCCCTGGGCTTGCAAGCTGGGGTGGGGAGCTGAGGGCCCCAGCCACACCCTCTGACATTTGCATCCAGCACAGTGACATCCAAGGTAATGCCAGAATCCTCCCAGGTCCCCTGCCAGGGGTGGGGGGGGGCGGGGGCCCCAGCCACGACCCCCCCCCCTCCACAACCAGGTCAGTGAAGGAGCCAGCCGTGAGCCAGCCCTGCCCCCACCCCCACCTCTGTACCCCCTCCTCCTGCCCCTCCCCCTCCCACTGCTCTACAACAACATCTTAGAATGTAAAACAATAATAATAATAATAGTAAATAAATCTTAAAAATACTAACATCTGTAAGTAAAAAACACCATTACAAAAATGTAAGAAGCAAGTCACCAGTTGGACTTACTATACAAAAATGCATAAGAAAAAGGTGACAATCTCAGTCTTAAAAATAGAGGATATAAACAGATAATTTTTGTTTGTTTGTTTGTTTTCTCTTAATTTTATTTTGTTGATATACAATGAGGTTGATTATTGTGGCCCATTACCGAAACCCCCATCCCTCCTCCCTAAACAGATAATTTTTAAGGGAGAAATACTTGTGGCCATCAGCCTGTGAAAATGTATGTAATCTCTCTAATGATCAAATAAATAAATATAAAACAATGAGATAATACTTTTCTCCATCAATCTAGAAAACATAATAAAAATGATAACAGAATGAAGAGAACAGAGTAACCAGGCATTCTCATATTTTGCAGAAAGAAGCTAACTGGAACAGCATTTCTGGAAGGTAATTTGACAATATATCTTTAATGCCTTAAAAATTTGAATTCTAGGAATTTATCCTGAGAAAATAATCATTTTTATACAGAATTTCAAGAACATTCATGATTGTTTCAGAAGAGCAGGAAATTTAGCAATGATCTAAGTATCCAATAAGAGGGGATTATCAGGATAAATCATGGCCTGTCCATAACACGTGTTGTAATTCAGCCTGAAAATTCATATAGCAAAGATGATTTTATGACAAAGGTTCATAACTAATGAGCATATAAACTACAAAATTAAAAATAAAAGGTAATCTGGACTGTGTAAAAGGACTATATACTTGATTAGAAAGTAACTGGAAGAGATTGTACGAAAATGATGAGGCATTGTCTAAAGTAGTTATCATTTGGTGGTTGCCTTAGTGTTATTTAAATTTTCCTTTTGTCTTCCTTAATTTTCCACACATATTACAAAGCTCCTATGGATTTTACTGTAGCTTTTTTGTTGTTGTTGTTACATCTGGTCCCATAGATTTTAAGCCAGCAAAATAAACATCTATTTATTATAATGCATGGAGAAAAACCTCCCTAACCATGCCTTGTCCTCAATAATCTTCTTTCCAAGTAGGCTTGATAGATTTGCTGAGGCTTGGGTGTTGGGAGCCGAGATGCAAGTTTGCTAAAAGAGAGTTCATTCTTTTTATCATGGATAAAGAGTACAATTGAAAGATTATAAAAATATTACTCTAGTTTTATAAGTATTAATCTGGGTAGTTATTATTCTTTAAGGGTTCAATTATTACCAGGCTTAATCTCAACAATAACAATGTCTATTGATTAGGATGGTAAGACAGAGAGTAAAAACAATGACTCAAAACCCAGATGTTTTTAGTCCCCTTTCAGCCTCCTTTTTGAGAATCTCCTCCAGAAATAGGTGGTAGGCTCCCTCTTTGTTTTTAAGCAGATCATAAAGGCTTTACACAATAATCTAGACCAAAATTACATTCTTTTAAAGCCCTTTGGAGAACAGAGGTGAAATTACCAAATCAGGGCAACCCACATACTTATCTTTTTCTGTTGTTGGTTGAAGTTGTCAATAATAACACCAATAAAGAGATTCAGAGTGAAGAATGAGCCAAAGATGATAAAAATGATGAAGTAAAGGTACATGCTTCGACTCTCCTCAAACCCCGGCTGATTTTCTTTCTGTTAAGGATTTTTTAAATGAGAGAAAAAAACAATTACCAGAGAAAACATAAATCATCCTAACTTCCTTATCTAGAAGACCAAAGTGTTTCTCAGCAGCAACATCAACTACATAACCTCCTTTTAACCACCATGGCCCCTCAAGAAGCCCCTCTTTCAGTTTCCCCTAGCCCAGCTTCAGTGTTACCATGTGGTAGGGGTTCAGGTGGTGGGGGGCTGGGCTTTTTCTCCTAAGGAATAATCATTCAGGGATTCTAAGAGTGAGAAGTGGCATGATCACATTTGTCTTCTGAAAATGTCTCTAGGATGTCTACATAGATATGTAATTGGAGGGAGCCAGACTGGAGGTGAGGCCACCTGAGTAGGGACATATTCACCTTGGGCAGAGGTGACTAAATGACCAATCATTGTTGAACTACTACATCTTTCATACAGAGCCCACTGTTCTATTTAATCTGTGGTTATGTCCTTTCACTCTTGAATTTCTAATGCATAGCATACCTTCTGATATGTAGATTATCAATACACATAGAATGAATACATGAATAAAAAATGAATAAGCAAGCTCCAGAATGGAACACATTGACTACAACCAAGCTTGCCTAGCTCAAGTTATGATCAAAAGTATCTCAGATCCCTTTTGTCCATGTTCTTTGGAGAGGGAGAGTTTCACATGAAGGAAGTTCAGACAAGAAAACAAAAGGACAAACACTCCCTTCATTTGCCTCTAGAGAACTGTGGGGAAAAGAAACAGAAAGACAGAGAAAATCAGAGCTAGGAATTGTGTGTCCTGATTCTCTTTGGGTCTGCAAATGGGGGTTGGGGTCCAGTAAATTGAAGTGAACATGGAAGGTAAAGAGGGTGTTCTTGCTTTACTTCTGTAATTTTCTGAGAAAAAAACTGCTGTTGGGAAGGCCTGTGATATATTGCTCAGGCAGGCTGACTTAAGGGGTAGCATTATGAGATCTCAAACGTCTCTCAGTTCCTATGTAGCTTGGACGTGGAGTCAGTAGCTATGGGCCTGCCATGATGGGCCATGTAGATAGGGATGGGAGTAGACTGCTGGGCCAGGGCCCTTGTGGAGGATATGGCAGAGAGTCAGTGTTTGAGGCCAAGAGGAGCTGAGACAGAGAATGGTCCATGGTTTGACCAGTTTCAGCTTCAACGTTTGAGATCAGCAAGATGCTCTGTGACTATGCAGACAAGGGCCATCATGCTAGAAGCTGGCATACAACAGCTAGCACACACCAGGAGTGGCATCAGGAGAGGCATCCCTCCATACACCTCCACCCATCTGGCACTCACTCTGGAAGCGTATGTAAGCCACATCTGTCTTCTGCCATACTTCTGCAAAAGCTTTCCTCCCCACCCCTCATCTCTACTTCAAGGCAGATGGATGCCTAAGACAAACTAGGATGTAGGTCACATACTCAAAAAGATAAAAGAAATGAATACATTAATTTCTAAAACACTTCCTTTGTTATAAATTGTAATTATAAAATTACATTATATATAAAACATATAATTATATAATTACATTGTATACATAAATAGAACAGTATAAATTATAATTGTTGTAAATAGTTAAGTACCTGCTATTAACTTTCCAGAAATTTGATTTTATTATCCACACCTAGAATTATGCAAACTCAGATTTGCTGCTATGCACCATCCATAATACCAGTCTATGAATGTATGATAAAAAGTAGAATGGCCGTAAAGACTAATTCTCATCTTCAGTGTTGCAACACTACTCATCCCACCTCTACTGCCACCAGCTCACATGGATTGGACACTTACTATGTATCAGTTTCATTCTTGACTCAACCATCTGCTTACTCAATAGCTTTAGGCAACTCCCTTCCTTCCTATCCCTCAATTTTCCCAACTGGGAAATATAAAATAGACTAGATTGCTTATAGTACTTGTCCAACCTTGGAAATCCATGATTACTTTTTTTAAAAAAAGCTAGAATTCAACAGTTGGCAATCACTAGAGACCCTTCTAGTCTCCAGGGATCCTGGAGCCACGGGAGGGTCTCTATTACTCAGACTTAGTTCAGTCTTAAGGTTTTCCTACAGTTCAAGGCAAGTACCCTTTGAAATTTGGCTTCTGCCTATCTACCCATTTGGAGAAAATGTGAAAAGAAAATCAAGGCATCCTGTGATTCTGTTGCTTTTGGTTCCATCTCCTACATGTGTGGTTTTTCTTGGTTACTGTGGAGAAAGAGGACTGGACTTTAGAGAATACTGGGGTGTCTGATACTCATGGAAGATGCATAAGAACCATTTTTATCAGGCAGTGGAATTTAATAGTATTTTCTCCCAAGGAAAACAAGGCAAAGAACCCTGATTGCTGAAACTACGATGCAGGAAGTTCTGGACTGTCTATATAGTCATGATATCCCTGATTTGACCCTAGAACTTAGAACATGGTAGAACATAGACTCACCCCTCTAGAATCGACAGCTGCATACATAATATCCATCCAGCCCTTAAATGTTGCCTGCAACAAAAGCAGAGAGTCATGAACACAAGTGCAGATTTGCCATTAACAGACACACGCCATGCAAAAGCCCAGTGGGCAGATGTGTATATGATGATGTCCCATCCTACCAGGACAGAGCGTTCAAATAAAAGAACAGTAGAAGGGAATTCAAGAATGTTTGTCTTGGATTTTTTTCTTCTTCATTTAAACGCGATAAAAAAGTTTAAAAACAAAAGAAATTTCTACCTTAACAGTTGCTAGAGAAGCTGTGGTCCAACTTCTGAAGAGAACCTGGTTAAGGCTTTTTCCTGATGCCACATTTGTTTGCACTGCCTTTCCAAAACCTGGCAACTGTGGTTTAAACAGGGAACTGTTCATAATGGCATGACCTATACCCAAGGCTCTGTTGCTCTCTGGCTGGAGCTCTGGAGAGCCAGCAAGGCATCATATAGGACAAGATGAGATGTATAGATCCTTTAAAGGGAATCACTAGGAGGTTGAGGCTCAGTAATCAGCAGAGTTGGAGATGCCCGGTAGGGGACAATACCAGAGGGCATTATCTCCACCATCCACATGAGAAACTAGGATTTCATTCTATTATCTCAAGAGTCACACGTTTTTATTAACTGAAAAACAATCTATGATTCTTTCTACTTTTCTTTCCTCAGAGTGAAAAACATAACAAAAGCACTTACCACCTGCAAGAGAGCGAGGTAAGCCTTCCCCACATTGTCAAAGTTGACCTTCATTTTGACCCAGGAGAAATTCCCACTTTCACATTGGCTTCGGTTTGCAACGATGGTATAATTTATAACTGAGTTTGTATCTGTTCCATTGATGCATCTTTCAAATTTTCCAGAGAAAAAATTTACTCCCAGGATACAAAATATGAGCCAGAAAATGAGGCAGACAAGCAAAACATTCAGAATGGCAGGTATGGCACCTATGAGAGCATTGACCACCACCTTAAGAAAACAAAAGAAAAGAAAAATATAACAGATGAGTAGTTCTCACCAAGCTCTAGATCTTCCCAGGATGGGCCTGATGTGCAGGGCTGGATCTCTTGGAGTTCCATATTTATTCTTCATACCTACCCCATGAGAAGCCCTGCTCTTGGCTCCATATGTAATGAGTCCTTTCTGTTGTCACTGAGGCTAACTTGAGAAGTGCCCTGATGATACATCTGCCCTAGGATTTTGAAGGGAAGCCAGAACCCATCTTGGCTGTCACAGAAACTCTTTTAGGGTGGAGATTTTATCTTAGAATTTTTCCCCACCTCTCAAATTCCAAGTATGGGGCTGCATGGGAAGAAACTCAGGAAAAGCTTGGCAATTTAAGAAAAGCCTGGCCCAAGAAGAGCAGTCAGCATTTCTGCCTTTTCCTATTATGAACTTTTACCCATTCACCTGGAGAATATACCTTCATTCCTTCAAACTGAGACAGTGCTCGAAGAGGCCTCAGTGCTCGTAGGGTTCGGAAGGACTTCAGGTTTTTTAAGTCAGTGAGACTGGTCACAGAGACCTGGTGGGAAGAGAAGCACACATAGTGTACCTGACCTGGTGCCTGTGGAAGCAAGTGAAGGGTTGAGAGCCCTCTTTCTGAGAAGCCTACAGGTCCTGCTGGAAGGGGGAAGGCAGATGAACAGTCCATTTTTCTCCTTGTTTGGCAAAACTACAGTCCACGAAGGTGGGTATGATGCATTTACTGTATTTGTTTAATGAAAGACAAAGGAAAGCTGAGAAACTGTTGTGAATTAAAGAAAACCAAAGAGACATGATGATGATAGATAGTATAGGATCCTGAACTGGATCTTGGATTGGGGCAGGGGGCAGGTGGTGAATAGTTAGAGAGAATTAGTCATAAAGAATCTTGTTGCACAATTGACAAAATTTGAAAATGAATGTGGATTTTAGCATTAAATTATGTGAAATACCCTAACTTTGGTCATTGTATTATGATTGTGTGAGACAATGCCCTTGTTCTTAGGAAATGCACATTAAAATATTTAGGGTAAAAGTGGTGATGAAAATGACAAAGCAAACGGGTGACGTTAATAATTGGTAAATCTGGGAAAAGAGTGTGTGGCGTTCTTTATACTATTCTTGCAACTTTTCTGTAAGTTTGAAACAATACCAAAATAAAAAGTTACAAAGAAAAGATAAATTATTTGTTTGCTAATATTCACCCTAACTCAAATAGCTCCTTTTGGGGGAATTAAATGTAATTTTGTCTCTCAAAATTTTTCCTAATGGGACAGGAGTGACAATGCTGTCACCATGCTGTACAATAGATCTCTTGAATTTATTCCTCCTATCTAACTGTAATTATGTATCATTAGACCAACATCTCTCCAATCTCCCCACCCCCCTAACCACCTCTGGTAACAACCATTCTACTCTCTGTTTCTATGGGATCAACTTTTTTAGATTGCACATATGGGCAAGAACATGCAGTCTATGTCTTTCTGTGCTTGGTTTATTTCACTTAACATAATGACCTCCAGGTTCATCCATGTTGTTGCAAATGACAGGATTTCTTTCTTTTTTATGGCTATTTATTTATAAATAGTATTTATTTATAAATAGTATTTATTTATAAATAGTATGGCTATTTATTTATAAATAGTATTTCTTTGTGTATACATACCATATTTTCTTTATCCATTTACCTGTTGATGGAAAAAGGTTGATTCCATTTCTTGGCTATTGTGAGTGGTGCAGCAATAAAAATGGGAGTGCAGATATCCCTTGGATATACTGATTTCATTTTTTTTGGATATATGCCTTGTAGTGGGATTGCTGAATCATATGTAGTTAATTCTATTTTTAATTTTTAGAGGAACTTCCATACTGTTTTCCATAATGGCTGTACTAATTTACATTCTAACAGTGTATAAGAATTCCTTTTCTCCATATTCTCATCAACACCTGCTATCTTTTATCTTTTTGATAATAGCCATTCTAACAGAAGTGAGATGATATCTCACTGTAATTTTAATTCACATTTCCCTGATGATTAGTGATGTTGAGCATTTTTTATTATACCTGTTGACATCTGTACGTATTCTTTTGAGAAATGTCTATTCATATCTTTTGCCTATTTTTAAATTGAGTTATTTGTTACCTTGCTAGTAAGTTAAGTTCCTTACATATTTTGGATATTAACCACTTATCAAATGTATAATTTGCACATATTTTCTCACATTCTGTAGGTTATCTCTTCACTCTGTTGATTGTTTCCTTTGCTGTGCTGAAGCTTTTTAGTTTCATGGAATCTCATTTGTTTATTTTTGCTTTTGTTGCCTGTATTTTTGAGGTCATATCCAAAAAGTAATTGCCTAGACCAATGTTATGGAGCTTTCCTCCTATGTTTTCTCTTAGGAGTTTTATAGTTTTAGTTCTTACATTTAAGTCTTTAGTCCATTTTGAATTGATTTTTGTATATGAGAGAGATAAGGCTCTAATTTCATTCTTTTACATGTGGATATCCAGTTTTCCAAACATTTATGGAAGAGACTGTCATTTTCCCATTATGCGTTCTTGGCACCTTTGTCCAAAATCAATTGGCTGTATATGTGTGGATTTATTTCTGGGTTCTCTATTCTGTTCCAATGGGCTATGTGTCTGTTTTTATGCTGCTACCATGCTGTTTTTGTTACTATAACTTTGTAGTATATTTTGAAGTTAGGTAGTGTCATGCTTCCAGCTGTGTTCTTTTTGCTCAGGATTGAATTAGCTATTTGGGATGTTTTGTGATTCCATATGAATTTTAGGATTATTTTTTTCTATTTCTGTGAAGAATGTCCTTAGTAGGAATTGCATTAGGTCTGTTGATAGCTTTGAGTAATATAGACATTTTAACAATATTAATTCTTCCAATCCATGAACATGGGATATCTTCCCATTTATTTCTGTCCTGTTCAATTTATTTTTCATCAATGTTTTATAGTTTTCATTGTAGAGAACTTTTACCTCCGTGGTTAATTTTATTCCTAAGTATTTTGGTTTTTGTAGCTACTGTAAATGAAATTGCTGTCTTGATTACTTATTTAGATAGTTTGCTGTTAGTGTATAGAAACACTACTGATTTTTGTATGTTGATTTTGTATTCTGCAACTTCACTGAATTTGTTTATTAGTCCTAAGAGTTTTTTGGTGGAATCTTTAGGGTTTTCTACATATAAGATCATGTAGTCTGCAAACAGGGATAATTTAACTTCCTTCTTTCCAAGTTGGAAGCCTTTTATTTCTTTCTCCTAATTGTTCTGGCTAGGACTTCATTAAAATATCGAATAGAAGTGGCAAAAGTGGAAATCCTTGTCTTTTTTCAGACCTTAGAGTAAAAGCTTTCAAGTTTTCCTTGTTCAGTACAATGTCATCTGTGGGTTTGTCATATATGGCCTTTCTTATGTTGAGGTGCAATCTTTCTATATCTAATTTCTTGCAGGTTTTTATGATGAAGGAGTGTTAAATTTTGTCAAATGCTTTTTCTGCCTCTGTTGGAATGAATATATGGTTTTTGTCCTTCATTCTGTTAATATAAAGTATCAAACTTATTTTCATATGTTGAAACATCCTTGCATCCCTGGGATGAATCCCACCTGATCATGGTGAATGATCTTTTTAATGAGTTGTTGAATTCTGTGCGCTATGTTGAATTTTGTATCTATGTTCGTTAGTGATATTAACCTGTAGTTTTCTTTTTTGTTGTGTCCTTGTCTGATTTTAGTAACAGGGTAATAATGATGGCCTTGTAGAATGAGTTTGGAAGTATTCCCTCCTCTTCAATTATTTGGAAGAGTTTGAAAAGAATTAGTATTACCTCTTCTTTAAATGTTTAGTAGAATTTGGCAGTGAAACCATTCAGCACTGGGCTTTTCTTTAATGGGAGACTTTTATTACTGATTTAATCTCTTCTCATTATTGGCCTGTTCAGATTTTCTATTTCTTCATAATTCAATTTTGGTAGTTTGTATGTGTCCAGGATTTTATGCATTTCTTCTAGGTTATTCAATTTGTTGGCATATAATTGTTCATAATAGTCTGTTATGATACTTAGTATTTTTGTGCTATCAAATGTAGTATCTCCTTTTTAACCTCTGATTTCCTTTGAGTCTTCTCTCTTTTTTTCTTTGTTATTCTAGCTAAAGTTTTGTAAATTTTGTTTATCTTTTCAAAAAACCAACATTTTGTTTCATTGATCTTTTATATTGTTTTTCTAGTCTACATTTCATTTATTTCTGCTCTGATTTTTATTATTTCTTTCCCTCTACTAATTTTGGGCTTAGTTTGTTCTTGTTTTTTTTTAGTTCCTTGAGATGCAGCATTGGGTTGTTTATATAATATCTTTCTTCTTTTTTGATATAGCCATTTATAGCTATAAACATTTCTCTCAGAACTACTTTGCTGTATCCCATAGGTTTTGATATGTTGTGTTTCTGTTTCTTAAATTCCTCTTTTAATTTATTTATTGACCCACAGGAGAATGTTTAATTTCCATGTATTTGTGAATTTTCCAAAGTTCATCCTGTTATTGGTTTCTAGTTTTATACCATCTCATTTTGGTCTGAAAAGATACTTGGTATGACTTTGATGTTCTTAAATTTGTGAAGAGTTGTTTTGTGGCATAACACATGATCTATGACAGAGAATGTTTTATGTACAGTTGCGAAGAATGTGTATTCTGCAGCTGTTGGATAGAATGTTCTGTAGATGTCTGTTAGGTCCATTTGGTCTAGAGTTTTAACCTGATGTCCTTTGTTGATTTTCTGTTTGGATAATCTGTCTGTTGCTAACAATGAAATATTTAAGTTCCCTACTATTATTGTTTTGCAATCTATCTCTCACTTCAGATCTGTTAATATTTGTTTTATATATTTAGGTTTTCTGATGCTGGGTGCATATATATTTATGATTGTTATATGTTGTTGAACTGACACTTTTATCATTATATAATGACCTTTTTGTCTCTTTTACAGTTTTTGACTGAAAGTCTATTTTATCTGATAAAAATATAGCTACTCGGCTCTCCTTTCATTTCTGTTTGCATGGAATACTTTTTGTCATCTTTCCACTCTTAGTCTAAGTGTGTCCTTATAGGTAAAGTGAGTCTCTTGTAGGCAGCATATAGAAGGGTCTTTAAAATTTTTTTTGTCCATTCAGCAACTCTGTGCCTTTTCATTGAATAATTTAATCCATTTGCATTCCAGGTAATTATTGATAGGTAAGCATTTACTACTGCCATTTTCTTAATTGTTTTCTAGTTGTTTTGTAGATCCTTTCTCCCTCTCTTACTGTCTTAGTTTGTGGTTAAGTGATTTTCTCCAGTAGTATTTTTTTTATTCCTTGCTTTTTATATTTTTAGTATATTATAGGATTTTTGCTCTGTGGTTACCATAAGACTTACAAAAAAACATTTTATAGTTATTTCAAGTTTTTTTAAGCTGATAACATCTTAACTTTGATCACGAAATCTCTACACTTTATTTTATTTATTTTTATTTTATATTTTTTGGTGGCTGGC